TTCTGCTTGCTCCTTGACCTGGATGGACATACTCCAACACTGACCACTGTCCCCATCTTGCGCGGGATTTGGTTTTGGAAGCTGAAAAAGGGCAGGAGTGAATTTTTAAAATACATAGAGTGCAATTATTTTTAATGAAATACGCAGTGCGTTATTCCTCACGTCCACGTTTCCAAGCAATATGCCTATACCAGTTGATGTAGTCTAACAATTATGAACGCAAAACCCAAGGAAGATCGCGTCGGAAATTTTTTGTCGCTCCATTATACTTTTCAAAAATGTGCTATAGATATCTGTTTTGTTTAAGAAAATTCAGGGTATTTCAATCGAAGTTCTGAAAAACCATTTCCCATGCACGCGCAGTCCGTAGCGAACGCGTCTTTTAATTGGAGCACTTCATAATAACAAGCTACCATTATTATTGGTTTACCGTCCCTTTGTATCAGATAAATCAAATGCTGAACAGAGCTCAAGAGCGTTCACTTAAGACTTTTGAGTTGAAAATAAAAGGAAACTGTTATTGTTGTTGTGGGGATGAACTCCAGTGTATAGAGCGTTAAAGAAACAGAAACTGAAATTACCATGCGCAACTATTGTGATCTTCCTGGGTTCGACTGAGTTCTAACCCCGGAAGATAGTGCCAACATGTCCGAGTTAAGGTACCCGCAACAATCCCGCAAAGATCTGTCCTGTTAGATCGCGTACGAAGAAAGTGGAAAACCACTTGAACTGGAGCCTTGTGATCAATGGGCTAGCATGCTTGCGTTACACGTTTGAGACCACGGGTTCGATCCTCAACTCGATCCATGCAGTCGGACTACTGTTGGGAGCCAACAAATTTAAAATAGCTTTCCAGGTCATGCTTGTGTCCTTCCTGTTTACAGCGAAGTTGGTCGTGTAAGAGAACTACTTTGATGTTTCAGAAAACCATTGAGAACCGTGCCTTAGAATTAGATACATAGATATATATTCCCAATTTTCGTGAGATCATCATCCTCTTGTATAGTTACATTGATATCACGTAGACAGTAAAAACGCTTTTGCTGAGCAGAAAATGTTACCACCTTAACGTGTTCTAAAATTTGAACATTTTGCCGTTTATGTTATTGTTTAACCCTTATTTCGTGATTAAACAGTAAAACGTTGCTATATGCTTTAGTCATTGAACAAACAAATTACTACAAACATCGCAATTCCCTTTTTGATTTCTGGTATTTATTATTAATATTATTTATTTTTTTAAAAATATGCAGCAATAACTGTATGCGAAACACTCTTTGAGAGCATGAGATGCAAGTCGACCAAGTGGCAATATTAGAATATATCACGTTTGGAATAAGCATCCAACTGTTCTAAGTACTCTCTCTATTATTTGTTGTAATGGCTTTCTCAGATAGATGTTTCTATCATTGTGGATCTTTTTTGCATCAACTCAGAGATTGTTGGTTCAAACTCCACTGACGCGAAATCCATTACCAATATTCGTGGTAATTCTTCACAGACTATCTTGCAGACTGTAAACTTTACTATGCGATTGATATTAATTTTATAAAATTACATGATTAAGTCACGCACTCGAAAACTAATACCATAATACTCACAAGGAAGAAATAAAAACCTGTGTTAATCGCTAATAAATTTTCTCAGATATCTTACAAACAGCCCCATTGCAACTCAAGGTATGACATGAACTGTCCACTTGTGGATTTTACAAGTCCCTTGAAATCCTTTTTACCTAAACTTCTGACCAAAAGGAGAGTATTCTTAAAGTTTTGAAAGTAACCACTCTCGGGTCTAGTTATCTGTATTTTTCCTCTCCTGTAGATTGTCAGTCAACCAATATTCACTGGCATATAAGGCTCTATAATGGGAGAATTTCATCTGCCAAGAAAACGCTGCTTGCAACCTAACGATCTGATGCTTTTAGTGATTGTGTTGAATCTTAACAGATGGCTAAATTTGTCTACAACCAATCTGACGCGAGTACTACTGTGCATCCAATTAGCCGTAATTAATGATCGTTGAGAAATTCTTAGCGCAAATATTTCTATAAGTGAACATTCCAACTTATACTTCGTGCGCTGACTAATTTATCACGATTTGCTGCACTGCGGTGTAAACTGTGAGCTAGAAATCACACGTTGGGTTCAAAACTATCATTCCTATCATCTTTATAATCAAACATACGAAAGTTGATACAGTAGCGGTAATGTGATCAAACACTCAACTTACCCTCAAACAGCAAGGTTGTTCACTAGCGGTAATTTGTTTAAAACCAGTTAAAAACAAACGGAACAGAGTCCATCGCATCACGAAACCGAATTAGTTTGTCGCATGCAATCTGCTTGACGTGAACAAAGTGAAATCACTTGGTCCGATGTTGTCCACGAATCCAGAGCTGAAAGGGGCAGAGGTAAAGGTGCTACAAACTGCCTCGCCCAATTCGTCTTTCACTTGGTCGGCTGCAAACGGAAACCTGTTGCATAGCGTACACATGAGTTTTCAACTGTATGCACACAAACACGCTCACCCACACCCACATACACATGCAATTATATCCACGTGAAACCAATGCGCTGCAGCTCATTACCTGTCCGTTCGGTTTATATCAGCTCACTAATGGTGTCCGCGATTCGAACAAGGCGTATACTCACGCCTCTGCTCTACGGCTGCTGAAGTTGATGACGACGATGATGATGCGGGCTTGCATTTGCGCGGCAGGCACGCACGCATTTTACCATTTGGATAGACGCAAAAACAGGCAGTCAAATGAACCAACCGATGGTCAACAGTCAT